TTTTGATGACTTGCCATAAAAGACCCAAAACCAGGTAAGGTTTCCCTTCTTTTAAGTCTTCAGCTCCAATGTTAACAACATGGCACCCAATGGCTGAAGCAGAGTTCAGGGCCAGGTTCAGATTTTCCTGGGGAAAGAAGAGAACTTCCAAATGATGCAGTAACTGGAGAGTTGAGGATACAGGAAGCAAACACAGCCAAAACTAGTTAAATTTGTGAACAGCTCTACTATGAATGAATTTACATACACGTCTGCTCACAGGCAGCAGGGGAATGCAGAATCTTCTGGGATTACAGATAAATTCTGGGTCCCAACATGAAGACAGAAGGGGCCTCCTTGGCAAAGGTGAAAGGCTTGGACACCTGGCCTCACCATGTCCCAAGGCATTGGACCTCATAGCATGCATCTGCATTCACAGTGATGTCCTGGCTCAGTCCTGGTGTCAAAGCCAGGCTTTCCCCACAGCCACACTGCCAGTGCACAAGCACGTGTTCAAGTGAAGACTTGGCTTCAGCATGTGGTAAGCTCCCCTCTGCTCAGTCTTGCACATATGGAGGAATGAGGGAGCTACAAACCAGTCAATCAGCAAATATTCCAGACTTGGCTCTCCCTAAGCACTATGCAAAAGCTATAACACCTAAAATAGATATAAATAATTTGTTAGTTGGCAATGTATACAAAAAGCACATAGTCATAGGAATCAGTATGAATAAGCCTGTTGAGTTTTTCAGCCAAGGTTAGATCTGGTCAGGACTGGATATTTTCTTTCTGAATTTTGGAGTGTGGAGTCCTTCTTTTGGGAATATTCAATGGAAGCAGAGGGTTTCTGTGATGCACAGTATGGGCTGGAAAGAAAGTGATGTTTCAGGAACCTTATGTTCCTTTACCACTTCCTTCCCATTTAAAACAAAGAAAATCTGACCCAAAGGTCTGCACCATTCAAAAAGGTGACTTGGAAAACAGAGGGTAAGTTAAGCAGGCAAAGAAACCTAGAAAATATAATTTATCAATCAGATTTGCAATTTTTCACATGAATTTCATCACTGCTGGTATGACAGAGAGATTTTATTAGATACAAAATGCAGAGAGACATAGTGTAAATTCTCATAAGCTAGAAAAATTGAAGCATTTCAAATTAATTACCTTTTCTTCACCAGACAGCTGTAAAAGGGTTAAGTTAAAGTGGAAGCTATATTGATCAAATTGTGTCTATGTGTGACAGGGATTGATCTGAGCTGCATCACTAAGCTATGCTGCTGACCAAAACGATTAGAACTGAAAAATGTGGTATACAGCATAAAAATCCAATTTAATGGCTTCTGAGCTTACTTGATCCTGGCTAATGTTCCATCAAATCAGAGTAGCTGAGGGCTAAACTGGGTTAGGTTCATATCTATTCCATGTATCTATTTATATTCTGTACCCAGATACATAGATGTTGTTCATATAAAAAATATCTCTCTACATCCTGCTGGGTGAGAAACACAATAAACTTTAAAAAGGTGAAAATTTGCTTTTTTGTCCAATTTTTAAACCATATACATGTGCACATAATAGAAATAAAGAAGGGATTCTGTATTCAAGGTGAAAAAGTACAGCTTGTAACAGGCAAGCAAAGGCTATGGTCCCATCTCAGGCACTTTGCACACCATGGTACTTTCTGGATCACAGTGAATAGTTTGGTGAGGACATCAGACTGCAACACATCAGTTGTGAATTCAAGTCCATGGCAGTGCCTGGTGACTTTGGAAAAGGAGTTCAGCCTTCTGAGAGCTACTCCAACTGGAATTGGTCACCATATCATCTAGTCACTCTTGCATTCCTGTGGCATCTATCACAAAGGTATCTAAAGCTTTGAACTGGTAAACATTTTTACATTGGATTAAGTGTAAATACAAACACAGTTTCTTCAGTCAAATTGTTCATATGTTTGGAAAGAAGCAGAAATATAAGTCTTTATGTTTTTACGACATGGATCTGAGCATCTCACTTTGCCACAAACCACTTTGTCTGATTGTGTTGGGCAGGACCATAGTATCTCCAGCCTTTGCTCTAAGTGGTTATATCAAAATATCCAAAGAGGAAAAGCAAAGAATCTTGTTACATTTTAGTACCTGTATCGTGAAGGGTGTGAGCTTCTTTTTGTTGATTGTTCTCTCATCGATGGTATCTGGCACTGAAAAGTTGATCATCTTACTGGAAATAAACCAAAAAACAACAAGAAATACACCACTAGCTATATGCACACAAAATACAGACACAGCTTCTGTCACTGCGCTATAGGACATGTCAAAGAGCCAGAAAGTTACAGAACCAATATAGATATTCAGCCTCTGTTTTCACAGGTACACACAGAGACACACACACAACACTCGAGCAATACTTCTGGGTCACATGTAGATTGTACTATAGGTGTGAGGCCAAGAATGTCAGAAGGTGAAATTGTGTGAGAAGTTTATTGTGCAGAAATTCCTGTGAAAGCACCCCCTGTCTTGCGCTGCTTCGTGTGAGGCCCCAAAAGTCCTTGGACGAAAATAAAGTCAAGTAACTTCTCAAATTTCACTGACTTCATCTTATTGAAACAGCCCAGAGGCAAAAAAAAACCCTCTTATCTAACATGAAAGGAGCTTTATATTTTTGAAGAGAAAGGAGAAAAAAAATTGTATTATTAAGGCCCTGAATCTGCAAAGATTCATGAGCTTAATGTAAAGTCAGCAGCTTCCATTCAAGCAGAGGTGTGAATTTCTGCAGACTCATGGTTTCATTTGTGAGAAAGACAGGTATTATTTACCAAAGCACTATGCCATCTCCGACTGCCTGGAAGAGGTCATCTGTTTCTGGATTCATCGGGACCACGTGTTTACAGTCAGGGTCCTTCTCCAGCGCTTTATTAATCCAGTTGACAAAGGCATACTTTTCTTCCTCTGTAGACACAAGACCAAATCCATCAGTTTGCTGTGTAATACTTCTACCATTATCTGCTTACAAAGGCAGAACTCCTGAGGAAGAAGACTGTCCCATCAATGTGACTGATCAACGAATCCCTACAAGGGAAGAAGGCTCTGAGGAGACAGGCTGAAGACAGTAATGGGCTTGAGCTCATTAATACTCCTTCCATACTCCTTCCCACTGACTGATCTTGCCCAGTGTCATGAGGGTGGGCATATTATAGAGCCTGGGAATGAAGTTCATGTGATTCAATGGTATGTTGCTGTTGCTCTGCTCTGCTAAGCATAATTTGTACTTGCACCATCACTTGAATGCATTGCTGTATCGCTCTGTTCAATTGATATCCCACGTAACTTCAAATAAGTTCAAAGAAGTGAATTCTATATTGTACATTACACCCTCCACATGTGGAATATCTACAAGAGCTTGGCCAGGGTGTATTGAACTCTGAAAAGGACCATTCAGAGAGTAATGGGCAAATGTTTCCTGCAGTCCAAGAGGGCTGTAATGTAGCTATCCTGCACCAGTAGCAGCTCACACCACCCTCAGTAGCTCAGAGGTGTCCTCTGTGCTCAGGTGGGTGGAGACATTGAAAGCATCCTCCACTCTCCCTTCCCTGTAGACCATCAGTTCTCTACTCCTGCCTCTGGAGAAGACAGCCAAAGGTGGGACCTCCTCCCTGTGGAGCTGCTTCAGAGCAGGCTGTGACAAGGAGGCAGCAGAACCAACCATGGGTGCTCCAAAACTTCAGCTTGAAGAAACAGGCTGGGAGAAGAGCCCTGATGGGGTCATGCCCCCTTTAGGAAAAGGTCAGGAACCATTTGGTTACACATTAATTTACAGAGGGACTACCAGAGAACTGGTAAACTGTAGAAGGAAATGGGTTAGCCCCAGCAGAAAGCCTGTGCCTTGCCTTGCACAGGGACAGCAACGAGCAGGGACAGCAACGAGCCAGTCTTTGTGCTGTTGCAGCCATGCTGGGAGGCTCTTCCCAGCAGAGATGCAATGCCTTTATCTTAAGGGAAGCTAAGCTGACTGAAGCTTCCTTCCGTAGCCACAGCTCTGCCCACCTCAGTAAACTGGCTCACACTATTTTTGACAAAAGACCCACTCCAGGGTCACTTTCACAACTCTTTGCTTTCCACCAGCCTCGTCTAAACAGCCACTGAAGCTCACCAAGGCCAGAGCACTTGGGTTTTCACTGAGATAAGGTGCAGATGATCTCCAAGGGCACACTTGCTCCTAGGTGCTATCAGTATAGGGCAGCTGTACCTACCTGAGTAAGAGTGCTGTGTGCCGGCACTGGACTGCTCTGACGTTCCACCAATAGCACAAATCCCCTCTTTTTTGTTGATTTGTTTTCGGAACGACTTAGCAACATCATCACTCTTCAGGTTTTGGAAAATCTTTCAAGCACAAGAGACAACTGTAAAATTTCAGAAAACTAAACCAAGCTAAAACAGTGAGGCCTTGGGCCAGGAGACACATTCTTTCTGCTTCGTACGTAGGGAAGCACGGCTTGAGTATTATACAGTGAGTTTCTGTGTAAAGTCTGTGTATCTGCCATGGCAGAATCTGTTTTCAAAGCAATGAACAAAGAGCACGTAAGTAACAGAAACATATATGGTACGAAACCATGGAGCTAAGATGTGCAGGAGGATGGCCTTTAACAGTTTTTTTTTGAAGAAAGGACAAGTAAAAATCGATTTCTTCATCCCAAGGGAAATTTCACTATTTTAGCATTTGCTTTTTTCCCAGTTCAGACCAGAAAAAGAAGCAGCTTTTTAATAGAAAAAATGCCCCATGGAGTTTTCCGTTTCATTCTGCTGAAATTTTTCGCAATCATCTAGCCATAAGATAATATTTTTGCAACTTACAACTGAAAAACTTCATCCCGCTGTATCAACCAAACTGAAAAATATTTAATCTGTTCAATACACAGTTGCATTCGTGTAACTTGTCCCAGTTAATTGCAGAATTTCTAGTTCGGTTATCTCCTGCTCTCATCTTTTCCAAGGGGACTCCTTGGATCATTTAGGTGCCCATGAAATCCTGTGCTTGTGCCTCTGCTGTGCCCTAGGAATCACCTTGAGCATCCTGTCTGGCATCTTACTTACTGAAATATATAACATCTTACTTACTGAAATAAATTCATTGAAACTGATTCTGCCATTCCCTGTGGTTGTCAAATTCTGAATGAGTTCTCTGGCTTTATATCCTGGAAGAGGGAGATTGGCTGCCTTCAACACATCTGTTAAATCATTGGCATGGATGAAGCCATTTCCACTGATATCTGCAAAGATTAAAGCAAACATTTAGATTCTACATCAGCCCAATAAAATTTTATGCAAACAAAGGCTGTTGTTTTTCTTTTACCTGGAGAAGGGTACATTGTATATGAAGATTTGTTATCCTGAAATCCAGTATTTTCAACGACTGTAGTATCATTCACACCCAAGAAAAAATTATAATCACCATTTAATAGACAAAAACTCACAGTGATGAATATATATGTTTTAGACATACAGTAATACCTTAACAAAGCTAGGTTTAGGCAAATATAATTGACTTTCCAAGGTTTACTTATAGACGAACATGTTATTTATAAAGGACGCATCCTGTCTACAGAATAGCTAAAGAAAATGGAGTTGACACAAAACAGTGTTACACCTTACACGTGCATATATTCATAGATACAACTTGTAATTTTGGCCTGGTTTCTGCATCTAGTATCATCAGAAGTCACGAGTTTAGAGGCTTGCAAATGCATATCACTAGATGATCTTTGAGATGATCACTAGATGATCTTTGAGGTCCCTACCAACCCTAACCATTCTATGATTCTATATGGTCATCTTTAAAATAAAAACTTGGGTGTTTCTCTGTGATGATGTTAACACAGATAGTCTTGTGGAGCCTGTTGCAAGATCTGGGGTAGGATTTTACGAGAAGATCATCAATAAAGGTTAAATAGTCCTTTCTTTTCTACCAGTTTGTGAAAATCTCGACAGATTGAAAAGAAAATTGAATCTATTGAGGAAGGTGATTCTGCCCCTCTGCTCAGCTCTCATGAGACCCCACCTGGAATACTGTGTTCAACTCTGGAGTCCCCAGCACAAGAAGGACATGGAGCTACTGGAACGAGTCCAGAGGAGGGCCACGAAGATGATCAGAGGGCTGGAGCACCTCTGCTATGAAGACAGGCTGAGAGAGTTGGGGCTGTTCAGCCTGGAGAAGAGAAGGCTCCGGGGTGATCTTATAGCAGCTTTCCAGTACCTAACATGGGCCTACAGGAAAGCTGGAGAGGGACTTTTTACAAGAGTGTGTAGTGATAGGACAAGGGGCAATGGATTTAAACTGAAAGAGGGCAGATTTAGGTTAGATATAAGAAAGAAATTTTTTACATTGAGGGTGGTGAGGTACTGGAACAGGTTGCCCAGAGAAGTTGTGGATGCCCCATCCCTGAAGGTGTTTAAGGCCAGGTTGGATGAGGCTTTGGGCAACCTGGTGTAGTGGAGGATTTCCCTGCCCATGGCAGGGGGGTTGAAACTAGATGATCTTTAAGGTCCCTTCCAACCCTAACCATTCTATGATTCTATGATTCTATTGCGTGGAGAGTTTCTGCTAAAATGCTATAATTATGTACCTAGTTATATATACAGTTATATATAGTTATATATTTATATTTATATAAATACGTGCATTTCTTGTTCTGCACTCTCTTTCTCCCCCAGTTGAGGTGATTTCAAATAAGCATGTGTCAATTTCCTGTGCGGCGAGTTTCAATGTGAGTCACTTGTTGCATGCTGCAAAAAGGCACCTGGCTCTCAGCATCAGTAGCATGGATTAATACAGATTGCAAAGAGCATCCTATCCATTTCTGAAGTCATATAACGGAAGGATCTGGACTTGGAGAGGAAAATGTCTGGGACAGGAACAAGAATTTCCTTCCAGCCTTGTCAGTGCATCGAGGGCATGGGGCACACACAGTGACCAGATGTTTGAGATTGCCAACCTGGACTACTGTGTGCTCAGAAATCAACCAACCATCACCTGAAGCAGCAGGGACAACTGATTAACACATAATTCAGTGAGGGTGACAGATCTGCTAATAAAAGTTAAGTGAGCTGTGAGAAGCATGAGGGTCTTTTCTTAGAATTTGGGTAGGCAGTGATGGATCTGCATGGCTTAAAGGAGACAAATCAGATGAGAGCTTTAAAGGCTTGGAAAGGAAACATGCACTTCAAAAATATTTGGGGCTTGAAAGGTCATAGTAAAGGGATTACGAATTTTTCAGCTATTTGCACATTTGTCCTTTCCAGACTCTTTGTCCCCAGAGGGAGTACTCAATTTACACTAAAATAAAAACTTTTTGTGTTCCAAATAATTTGTCATGAACAAACAATATTCTTAGGAAAACACTTGAGAGTGTTTCCAACATGGTTTTCTGTACAGCTTTTGAGGTTATTTCATAAACCCCGCTGCTCGTTGCCCTGCCATCTCTCTCCAGTAAGAGGCCATTGCTCTGCAGCATGCTGATGTGGTTTCATCTAGGAGGGTAGCAGTGGCAGGAAAAGAACTTTCTGTGGTTTCGGTGACACAGCGGATCAGTGCTGGTGTAAGCTCCGTTTCCTCGCGACAGTTCAGTAGATGAGAAAAGAGCTGGCTACCCCTTCACACTTGTGCGGTGTGTTTCCTGTGTGCTGTACTCACCGACTTTGCCGAAAGCCTCTCGTAGCTCTGCCATCTCCTCCTCCGAGAAGTGTGCTGTTGTCGCCATTTCTTATTTCTCTGAGTGGCAGATCTGCAAGAAGAGAGCACATGTTTTTGTTCGGTGCCTTTTCAAGGTTGCAATCGTGATGAAAAAGAGAGGGTTTCGCTTGGATTTTCAAAGTCTCAGAGCAGTTTCCCCTGTCTGAAAACCCAGTTCCTCTCTGCATCCTGAAATCCAGAGAAGGGGTAAGATGCTGCGTACATGAGATACAAATCCTTGTCCTTCCTGCTGTTTAGCCAGGCCCTGCTCAAAATCCCAACAATTTTGTTTATACTAGTTTAACTGGAATTAAAGCCTACCTCTCCCAACTTTTGTTTCTCATGGAGAAAGCAGACAAAATTGTGCTGGATCTTGTTATTCTCCCGTTGGAAACACAGCTCACTATGTGCTTCTTCAGCAGCGCTGGCAGAGAAGCAGCAGCCCTGTCTGCTCCTGGGGCTCTGGTTTGCAGTCAGAGTCCCCGGGATATTTGCACCGTCTACCTCTAAGTACCTAATGAGGAGGCTGGTCACCCTCATGGGGTGGATGGATAGAGAGAAGCTCCTTCACAAGGTGTTCAGAGCGTCAGATCGGACTTCCCAGAGGGCTACTTCTCTTCCTGACTACAGGGAGAGTTTAGGGACTTGCCCTCCAAGGTGCCTGTTAGTGGCTGAGGTTGGGTGGCACTTGAGGAATGGGTGGCACTTGAGGAATGGGTGTCTGGAAGGAGTTTTCCTTCCTTTCCTCTCATCACTGATATATAGCAGGAGAAAAGATTAGACTTTCCCTTTCTAGGCACCTTTCTTAATAGTCAGAAAGGGAAAGTTTACTTCCGTTCGTCACATCATTTAATGCACTGCCAGAAGATGCACATGCTTTTTCACACACCTACTGTCCCTTGCATCTATTCATGAGGAAACTGTTCAGGAGACAGACTATCTATTATTCTATATTTGTAAGAATGGCTCCAGTGTCCTATGTCACTTTAAGTATTAATTAACCAAGCAACTATTTAAATAGAATAGAATGGAAACCTGAGTTGATCCTGGAAGGTGGTTGCTGTAGCTACAGTGTTCAAATGAGGGAAAAAAAATTAGAAATACCTCATTCCCAGACTAAAGCCAACATTGCATCCTGGAGGCTTGGATTCCAAGCTTTATAGAAAGATACACAGTGATAACTTTAAAAATTACAGATTTGCTATAGCCCTCTACAAAGACACAGAGCTGCGTACAGCCTATCTGGCTTCGGATTTAATGCTCTCCTGAACTCATGCATTGATTCCTTGTCTCTGTGAGAACCACTATGGACATGGCTTTGAAATAGCCCAAAGGCAACCTCATGTCTGCTGTCTCCTTGTAGTATCATGCACCCTTTATCTGACTCATCAGTGCTATTCTAGGGTGAGTCCAGCTTCCAGAGAAAAATCTATTCATTCACTCCAACCTTTATAAATAGAGAAATGCAACATAAGCCACAATGCGATTGCTCTTAGGGCACGAGAAACCATGTGCAGTTTTCAGCACAAGAGAGCTGATAATTGCTACTGAAATACTAACATAATAATAAAAGTGGTTCTAACCACCATACCTTCAAGAATTTCCTGTAAAAATCCCTGTGATCCACTAGCAATGGGGGTTATATGTACTAGGGTAAAATTAGATCCATAGTCTTCCTCTTTCATCCTAGTATCTTTCCTGTCTCTGATTCCTCACTATCAATCTTTTTCTGCTGCATGCTGTGTGGTTTTGCAACATGTGGATTACCTAAAATGCACCCAGACACATGACAATCTTACACTATCAGCAAGAAAATCCATATTCTACTGCAAGATTATCCCTTCCAGTCCAGTCACTTGATTAAGCAATATAATTTGCGACACAACTTTTAATAGCATTAAGACTGTTCTAGAGCTTAACAGATAAGAACCACCAGAGATTGTTGCCTACAACATTACTTTTGCAAAAAAGTTTATAGCCTTGAGAAAAAAATTATCATCAACATGAAATGGACTTTTCTTGATTGCATAAGAAGTTGTGATCTCTTGTCAGTAACTAACTGCTCTGTTAAATACAGAGAATCCTATTAAGAGTACATATGTTTACATGTGTGGGCATTTATACTAATAACACATAATAGGATGAAGGGCTTTGCTGTAATGAACCCTTCTGACATCTTTTTTAGGTCAATATTATTTATTCTGTTGTAAAGGTGGCTACACTTAGCTGAGAAACCAGATGAATTTCTGCACCGAGTACGAGAACTGGTCCTCAATCACCTCAGGAGTAGTTGTACTCGGGCGATGGTGGTGTTGTGACTGCCCTCTCCAACACACAACTGAATTTCTTCTGCAGTTTCACCTTCTTAGTATCTCTTGACTTCAGCCTGTCAGCTCCAGCATCTAACTTCACCTCGTATTGCTGACTAAAATCCTGCTCTCTATTTACACAGAGGTAAGATTTGGACAGGCACCCTGTGCCAGCCAGCCCTACACTGCCATCTGCACAGCTCTTTTGGCAGATCAAGTGCATTGTAACCCATCCTCTCTCTGAGAGTTTGGCACTAGTGCCCATCACAGTACATCTGCCATATAAAATCCATACCAGCAAGAAAATTCCTTTATAGTCACCACCTCTGCACAGTTTCAGGGTCACTTCTAGTCCAGGTTTTGGCAAGGGACTGCAATAACAGCACAGAAAGAGTCGAAAGTCTTCACTGCGGGTCTTCTAGGTTCACTTGCAGCTAGAAGTCGTCTGCAAAGTGTGTGAAAGCCCTCAAATTTACAGTCAACTACTCAAAACTAGAATTTTCAGATTAAAAGTTTCAGAGTTATTCACAATTAAAAACCAATGCCATTTTTTAAATTGCCCAAGTAGTAAAAACAAAACGTAAGGAAATCAACAGAGTAAAAGTCCAAAGCTTTAGCAACACACAGCAAAAAGGAACAAATCCACTTTCAAAAAAGCTGCTTTTCAATATATAAACTGCTTATTTTGCTTAGATCATTAAAGTAAATGATGATATTTAAGCACAGAGAAATGTAAAATGCTTCTGGATAATGGTGAGGGAGGTCAGGCCCAATATTTTTCTTCTGATTTTATCAGCCAAGAGCAGAGTCATTTGCTTCTAGGGGTCAAACACTTCCAGCACTTCACTGTCCTCCATGCAAACTGAAAATACCTTGGGCATCCCATCAAGAAGGCATCCAACAACCCCGGGTGAATAGTCCAATTACTGATAATCCACAAGGCATTGTAAGCATATAGTGCACTGCTCTGCTCCAAACTATTTGCAAAAACAGTATGACAAGACAGATGCAGCAAAAAAAAATGCAGGGGGTGGTACAACAGCAAAGGATAATATGTGGAGACGATGGGCAATACAAACAAGTTGAAACGGCTTCTTTGAAGGGAATAGCTGTTGAGGAGCTGAGGGAGGAGAAAAGGGAAAATCAGTTGATGAGAACCAGGCGATGGCTTTGAGCATAGAGATGTATAGCAAGAAGCAAAGAGAAAAGCTGAGCAAGGGGCAGGCGTGGCAAGAGGGAGGGGAGTTTGAGAAGGAGCAAATGCAAACAGTTTAGCTATCAGCACAAATGAGATTTTGAAGCTCAGCAGCAGCTTGGAGGAAAGATCTTGAACTTAGTGTGATCGAAGATCAGTGAAAGAATTGAAGTTCCTTAGAGAGAACAAGATGAAAGTCAGCAGATGCTCAGATGTGGAGGCAGGATGCTGAGGAGGGGAAGACAGTTCCACGGGTCAGAGCAAGAAGGGCAGTGGAACTGCCAACAAGAAAGAAATGGAAGGTAATAAAAATTCAGAAGGAAAATAAAACACTCCTTGAGACAGGCTGAGCTTCAGATGGCATCAGGACATCTGGATTACACATTGCCTGGAAGTGACACTTTGCTCTCGTTTGCCAAACAGCATAAACCCGCTATTGCAAAAGCAAAAATAAAGTTGTGCAAATACACTCCTTCCTCCCCAGAAGACTGTTGAGTTACAGGTTAATGTAAAAAGGGGAAAATGGTCTCACCTAGGCTGCTGAGAATTGTGACAAGCTGGTATCAAAAGAGCCTCTACAAAGCACTCCTTTTCCTGCCATCATTTCCAAACCAATGCATTACAGCCATGCCATAAAGCCTTCTTTTATTTGACCTTATCCTCAGAAGAACCTACTATCACACTGATGTTTTAAGAGATCTAATAACAAACTATTTTCAGTTTGGAATATAAAGGAAGAACTAAAATAATCTCAAACCTGAACATTACTGCTAAATTGAAACACAGAGATATTGATGTTCTTTCATCTCTTACGATTTTGAAGCCATAGTCTGAGAAGCTGCCTGGTTATGTATTACTTGGCAAAGTGTGCACCCACCATGCAATATAAATAATAAATGGCAAAGCCATTAAAACCAAAAAGTTTCCAAGACTTGTATTAAATGGTTACCTTCTTTCATATTTTTCTTCACTTCTCTGGTGCTTTATTGCAAGCAAGGCAATGAAAACCTTGAAGATATAAAACAACACTTTACAGCTAGATATAAAGTTGAACCTTTCCCCAAAGCGAAAAAGCAAACTTCATGGGGCAACATTACTTTTCAAAAGCACATATTTAAGTCATCAGGAACTTAACTGTGAATTTGGAGCTGAGAAAGTTGAATAAATTACTAATACTTACTCACTTTCTACCATCAGGGCATTATTTTGTTAGTGCTGTATCACTTTATCAATAATACAATAACCCCTCTAGCTGTTGGAGAGTGATTAGATACAAGATTGCGCATGTGTTCCCTGCCATATATAAATTTCTCTATTTCTTTTGCTATTACTTATCTATTTTTTCTGAAAGTGATGAAACAAGAGGCACTCACTGTTGCAAAACCTAGCTGTTAAGAGTTGCATGGGGCAGCGTAAGACTGTGTCTCCCCTCCATGCACAAAATTCTGCCTTTTACTTTATCAGAGCTCACAGCTCCAGCTCTTCTTTTCTCTTTCTTATCTCATCCACAAATTCAATTTCCAAATGTCCAGCTTTCCATAAGAGTTGGGGAATACTTCCCCAG